TAACACTGCTTTTATACTAATAAAATGTTTCTTTTGGTGAAGAAAAATATAAAGCTACCTCACCAGTAAGTGTATAATCCCAAGGTTATTGAATTTATTTATCAAAAGGAAAACTAATAATAAATGTAAATGTATACACTCTTTAGATGCTGCCTTGCTCCTGAATGCATTGCAGATTGAATGGCATCTGGTTCAATTGCTGCATTTCAGTCAGGCTCTAGGTGACATTATGAGCAACAGACTAGGTCAACCCCGACATCTGTAACACAAGAAAATCAAATATCAAAACCAAAATCAGTGCAAATGAGAGTCTGTTGGCACCAAGCAACCGTCCCCAAAGCTGTATGTGTGCCATGCTGTTTATCATATTACAAACATGCACAATACACTTTTGCCGATTTTGTAGTTGACTACCAGTACAGGGGCTCTTTAAGAGGTTAGTCCTTTGATTGAATGAGTGACAGAAAGGGAGAAACAGGGCTTCTGTCAGATATTACATCATCTCTCTTTTGATGGCTAAAATGGCCCCCTGACAAAGGCTCTTTATCACTAATTCAATCCTATAGTATGCTGTCTGTGAGAGGCACTGACGGGGTTTTGGGTAAGTTATCAACAAAGACCTCTGACACTATCACTGAATGACTCTACAATTTAGCAATGGTCTTGGTTAAAATAAAAGATACACTGACACAAGTAATATCTGATTTGTGATTAATACTGCCTCAGAAATACATAAAACTCTTGCCCCGGATGGGCTTTGTCTTGTTCAACTGCATGCTGAAAGTGTTCCATTAAAGTATATAATCAGCCAGAAACGATACTAAAGTAAACCCAGAAAAGCAGTGAATCACCAGCTCTGTGAAGGCCACTCGCTCCGAGATCTCCAGTGTTGTCGTCATTTGCAACGCCAGCGATTCAAGGCTACAAGGTGGAGGAGGAAGAGGCAGAGGAGAGGATGAGAATGAGATGCTGCATTGGCATTCAACAGGGATACCTCCTACATCTCATGTTACCTGTAAGCTACCATATGCTCGTTTAGAGGGTGACACACATTCTTGCCATGGGGTGCATATGTTAATGTTGTGCTCAATGGAACAACAAGAAAAGACGTTCATACAGAAATGTGTTAGAAGATTAATCTTTATTTTGTGTCTTTGAACTAACATGAGAGTGAATGAGTACTACAAGTACCTAAGTGCATACACATTTAAATGCAAACGTCCCACTTAGGTATACACACAAATGCACACATACATGTATGTTTGCTATGTGTCCTTTTCCTCTTACCATCATCCCTCTCATATAACTACTTTGTATGGACACTTAGATTATATGAGGCCAGCATGCAAGCTTATTGGCAACACATTCACCTACTGCGTCACATAGTCAGATGGAAGGGAAAGGGAGGAAGAGTGAGACAATGCGGGAGAGAGAGAAAGCCTTTTTAACCCATCTGCCAGCCCACAAATAGCTGCCATTTTCTGATGAATGCACAGTGGATGAGGAGCTGAAGCCTAAAGGTATGAGCAGGAAGAATGCTATTATCACACACTAGTGGTACTGGTGAAAATCACACAGGTGAGTGTGCAGAGTGGGAGAATGGATGTTCATTTGTCAGAAGGTAAATGCTGGAGACAATGGCTCCCCTTTTAAGCGTGCTCTTCCCCTTTCTTTCATGTGTGAAAATCACTGACAGATGTAGAGACTTCTTAAAGGGATCTTTATATCAGGCTGTCCTAGACCTAGATAGGGCAGTGAGTCGGGAATAGATAAATAGGTCAAGAGAAATGGAGGGTGGGAGCTGGCTGGAACAAAGCACCCATTTCCTGGCTTGTTTGGTGTGTATGAAGGCATTGGAAAAACAATTCAATGAATATTTAAGAGAAACCCAATTACTGAACAATGATAGCTTTAATTCACAAAGATCTAACAAAATGCACACAAACAGAAGCCCAAGACCTCTCTCTTCACAGAGCTGTTACAATCTGTTGTCTCTTACTGTGCCATAACACATTTCTTTTAGCTATAGAGTATGCATGGCTGCACATCCTCGGTATGGAGTCTTGCTTCACGGAGGCGATTGGTCAAGCTGGCGGTCACATGACATGGATCTCACCCAGGCGAGCAGCAGCAGCAGCAGCAGCAGCATCAGCCCCGGAGAGCCAGAGAGCCAGAGAGATGCTGACACAGCACACTTGATCGTCAACCCCCCACTAGAAAAGACCTTCAATCTCCATCACATATATAAGACACACATAAAAGAGACTCATGGTAATGTTGTCAATGCGGTAGGACACCATTTAAGACGTGATAATACATGCCTGAGTAGATTGAAAGACTGCGGTCCTATTCGTTACCTCATAACAGAGACACACGTCTGCTAATACATACAGATTCTTCTTATCAAAGCATTTCCAACATGGACAGTTTTGTCTTGTGGAGTTGTTGAATTGTTTTGAAAGGCGAGGAGGACTGGTCAGCGTTATTACCAGCTCTACTGAGACTGCTGAGGTTCAGGGGGGTCAGACGCTCTAACCAACAGGGTAACCCCCTGTTCTACTCCCAAGATGGGTGAGGCTGAGTCAGCAGAAGGATCTATACATTATCTGAAGCCTCAGTGAGAACAAATGGAGCGTAAGTGAAACCATTAATGAACAGTTATGGACCAGAGGATACAAATACAGCTAAAGTTTAAACCCAAAGCCACAGTTAAACACAATCTCCATGGGACGGTTTAAGTAATGATTAAAAACACGAGGGCATTTTCTTCCTCCTGGAAAATAAATGTTGTTGGAAGAAGTAAAAACAAAGAAAGTAGTAGCATGATAGGAATGCTTGCTGAATGTTTACATAAAGATGCCTCATTAATTTGCACTTGCACACATTTGTCCGACCCCTGCCTGCTGATCCTGCACTAACACACCATGGAATGTGTGTGGATCTAAACACACTGTCACTACATTATATATGCAAACACACACTCACATAAATCTCCTTTGTGGGTGGTACTATCAAGGGATATTATCGCCCTTCTTGGTTTCGGGCAAAAACATAAGAAACAGCCATTTAAAAAACGTAAAGCACCTCTTGAACTGCTTCGATTTATCGAAAGAGGGGAATGTGTCTTACATTTGAAGATAGTCTTCAAATAAATGCAAGATGAGATGACAAAAAACAAGCACAGCATGCTGACCTTTATGGAGCACATACTCCTCCAGATTTCTTTAGAGAAATCAAAAAAGTGTTAATGGATAGTTTTTGAAGAGCACATTATTATACCATAATTGTGTGTCATTTTTGCACATGTGGATGCAGAATTGTTAGTTTCAGCCACGATATACTATGTCGTAAATATACCAGGAAAACTGTGGCTTCATTTAACTAGCCAGCAGAGGTTTCTATGGCACAGCTTTGGCTTTTCTTTCTATAAATCTTTCCCTGTGACACCGCCAATGTTTGACACTGCTCAAGGTCACCGGGTCAGATCTGATACTTCTTGCCACAATCCAAAACTCAAATCAACTGTTGTTTCACCCCCTTTGTTCCTCACTGTGGATAACTGTGAATTCCCACAGTTAGGGTTTAGAAATGAAAATCTTGACTATGAACTTAAGGCTCCATAATGCTGCTGGTGATTATGGTATGTTGGCACAGGCAGATCCCCTCAGCAGCTCGCTGTTGCGTCTCTTAAAAAAAACAGTGTGAGAGTGATATTATATTCATAACATGGCTTTCAGTACATGTGGGATGTTCATGGAAATAAGGCTATAAGTGCATACATACACAAACACATGCAAGGAAGAACTGCCTTCTCTGCTAACATGAAGGCCAACACCGTGTCTTCCCACACACATATCCAGAATCAAACCCACACACACTATAATGAGTCACACAGAAAATTAATTTAAAAAAAGACTGGAGCTAGATAAAGCAGCCTGAACCAGCTGACAATGATAGCACAAACAGAGGCTGCAAGGTGTGTCGCCTCCCTCCTAGCCTTCTGAGTGCATGCAAGTCACACAGCCTTGTAATAATAATGACCCAAACCTCCTGCTCCTAATCCCCACCCTGTACACTCAGCAGAGAACACCCTCTGGCTCAGTGCTGCTTCACAAGCTGCTCTGCCTCCCTGTGAGGTGAACGAACAGGGTGGGGGGAGAGTGGTAAACGCATAAGACCTGTGTAAAAGGTCACAACGCATCTATTTCTGTAGGTGGCAGGGGAACTCAGGACCACCCAGATGCAGGGCAGGTACAGGAGATGAGGAGAGGAAAGGAAAATCCTCCCACATTAACCTCAGATAGATCTGTTTTAGGGAACTACAGAGACATGATAGCCTATTTTTTTTTTTTTTAAAGGGTGCTAATATAATCGCATTATTCAAGCAAAAGTATGTTAGATAAGTACCAGATGCGAAATACGACCTTCAGGAATGCACGGACTGGATAACCCACGCCTAAGAGGTGCTTCCCTGCTCACAGCTGATATTACTGCGTAATGAAAACATTGCGCCTTTTCCCAGTTTCCCTCACGTCGCAGCCCACACCGCATCAGTCTGCATCACGCTCACCTATTGACAGGTTCTGTGACAGGAGGTACATTTAATCACATCGTAACTTCACAATTACATGTTTTACCAACTTGAAACGTGAAATCTCGTCCTAAAGAGGATGTTGTATCTGCGTAATGTTGGTAATGAGATGGTCTTTTGCCTATTTTATGTATTTCCGTGGGCAGGTTGCATTGGGGCAATGCGCCTACACGCTGCCTATGCGGTAGCCTCTGCAATGGACATTACGCACCAACATGAACATGGGGAATTCTATTGTTCCTCATAATTTCAACGAGTGTACTGACCATTGTCTATTCCATATAATCAGCCTAATCACATGTAATAGCAATCATATCTGCATGGATGAGATTCACATCCTAAGTGGGCCAAACAGGGGGTCTCTTCCCTTTGGCCCGGCTAGAATAGCGCACGGAGAGGGTTTGCTTACCTTCCCACAGTTTGGTTGGCAAGCTGTCGCATCCGATTGAATTGCTTCTTCATCTTGAATTTTCTGCGTTAACACCTACTGGGGGAAATATTCCGCATTATTTCTCTCAATATAACGGTCCGTGCTCCACAGAGGTGCAACACAAAATCCAATCTGCCCTGTTTTCCTTCCCTCATCGCAAGCTGCCAACGCCGAAAACCTATTCCACACGATTACATATTTTCTAATGATATTTTTACATCTACATTTGCCCCACTGCCTGCGCAGGGATGCTGGACCAATTCACCGCGGGCAGAGCGCGACAGCAGTGACAAGAAGCGGCTGCGCAGCAATGCAGTGTGGGAAATGTAGTAAATCAAGGCTGACGCTCAATAAAGAACCAAATCTAGGGGCTATGAGGCGTGATCACACAGGCGTTTATTTTACTACGTGTTTAAATACAATTTATTAGCCTGCATCTCAGCAGTTGACTACAACAGTGGGATTTGCTGTAGTATGGTGCTAAATTCTTTAACTAGTAGATACAAATACAATTATAATGTATGGGAAAATACCAATGCGTCTGAAACTGGAGGATTGCAATCATAAATATTTAAAAATCTATAAAAAAAAGTAAATGGTAAAGATACAAATATATGTCTTTCATTTATGTTTTCATATAGACATTTGTATGTTTTAGATGCTTTTGAGAGATTACGGCAACGTTGTATTTTCTCAGTTTTATCTTACTACACCCCGCTAAGGAATTCACTGCTGTAACTCAGCCTCGCTAAGAGCTCCATCTGGTGTCTTCTACGTGCCAATGCACTTACAATGGTACACATGGGAAACAACAAATTATACATTTCAAAATTGTCAAAAAAGTGGTACAGGCAGGTAAGTCAGTCAGGTAATTGTTTGACTTTTAAAGTGATCTAGCTATTTCACTAACATGCTTATTTAGTACACTTACATTTCAGTTTAGGTAACTCAAAACAAATGTATAGCCTACTTAAAATTACTTTTTAAAGTGGACCTATCATGCTATATTTGAATAATATAGTGTAGGACCATACCTATATAAGGCATATTTATACTTTAAAAAAAAAAAAAATACTAAACAGATCATGCATTTTAGCCATGCCTCATTTTGCTCAATTTGACATTTTTTAGATCTGTTTTAGCAAGGGCAGATTCAGTGAGAACAGCACCATCTACTGGCCTGGCATATGTACAGCGTCTCCAGCGCTTTCGAACGGCAATGGCCTGATTGGTGGAGTTGGCCCAATAGCCGTAGCACCACCGTCCTGACGTCAGGACAGTGTTCAAATCTGGATCAGTTTTTATCAGATCCGTTGCAGCCCCTTTTTTAGAGATTTGGGTATGGAGGAAAATAGAGAAGGTTGTGTTTTCTGACACTTGGTGAGTTCCCTGGAACACCGGGGACACATATTCATGTATAAAAGACGTACAAAAGTGCATTTTGCATGATAGGTCCCCTTTAAATAAAATGACCATTTAGTTCACACAGAATTATCATTTCAAACAGCTAAATACTTAAGATTAAATAAATGTAGTTTGTATATTCCAAACAACACATTTATTTAAGTTAAGATATCTAATGTGAAATTTCCAGTTGCAAATAACAATCAAAGTATAGTGACACAGTTTAAAGTTCAATTGTATGCCTTTATTTAGATTTGTATTCCTTAAAAAAAGAAGATGTTACTCATCATGAACAGGAGTTTGCAGTTTGGATTTCTTTCTCTCCCAATATAACTACAAAATCTCTCTCTACAAGGATGTCAGAAAACACAGGGTCAGGGTGAAAAGGAGTTGGGGAAAGCTAACCTTCACTGAGGACAGTCATCACCCCACAGATACTTGTACCAAGGCCTCATCACTGTCAGAATCCTGTAACCAATCAAAAACAACATTACAACAAGTCGATCAGTAGTTAGAGTATCGTCATCTGTCCTTTTTTCACTGCATATATCAGCCTTGCACGTTCAAAAGCAAGAGTATTAGTAAGCCCAATGTTTGATTCTGACATGTTTACACAGTCCAGTAAAGAACATAGAGAAATTATGCATTAAAGTATTTTACAAGTCTTGTTCTCTAGTAAATCCCAGTGACATGGACTGTAAACAGAGTACATTTAAAGTATAAGATATGATAAGATAAGATAGTACTTTATTGATTCCAATTTGGGATTTTTTTTTTGTTGCAGCAGCATAAAAAGACATGGCATTGTATACAAATTAAAAGACAAGAAAAAAACAAGAAAGTAGAAAATATATATGTTGAATTTACAAATTAACAATAACAAGATATAAAGCAAGGTATTATATATACAAGAGTATTTGACAATATTAAATATTAAACTGAATATATAAATGTAAAATGTACAGTGTGATTTTATTCCAAGAGAAACTATGGAGCAGAGACTTTGGCTTTGTTTTTAACGTTTGGTGATGCTACTAGCCTACAGTAGCTCAAGTAAAGTGACTTTCAACATCTCCATCTAAAACACAAGTAATGTTTAGTGTCCCCACCAGGTGAACTAAGGCGCCCAATTGGATCTAGGCCTACATTTAAAGGTCCCATGTCATGGCCATTTCTACTGATCATAATTCCATTGTTGAGGTATACTAAAATAGATTTATATTGTGCAATTTTCCAAAATCACATTGGTTTCTCATACAGCATCTCTGTATCCCAGCCCGAACACACCCACCCACCCGCAGCCTGGCTGGGAGTTTGTGTGTGTGCTCACACACCGACTCACAGCCTCGCCGCGTCCCGCCGTCTCAGGGAGGAGAAATCGGCGGAGCTGGAGCTGAGAAAATATTGAGTGTGTGTGTGTGTGTGAGGAAGTCTGCAGATTGGTCCATTTGGACCAATCCACAGACTTAACCTAACGGCTCCGCGGTCCATTTGGACCAATGGGTCCATTTGGGTATGGGCACGTCACTGTACCCAGGTAGAAAACAATGGAAAAAGAGAAATCTCCAACGAGGCGTTTTGGGGCAGCATAGACAGGAATTTTCTGTGTTAGAGTTTTACTCGCTACAGGGTGTACTTTGAGGGTTTGTGACTTTGCAGACCGTTTACATGCATAAAAACCTTCATAACACACAAGGGGACGGGTAATAACCGGAAAAGCATGACACGGGACCTTTAAAACTTGCAGCTGGTTTTTGCTCATCATATTAATGTAGCCTACAAGGTCTAGTAAATAAATAACTATGGATCAAGGCTGGTCGCTTCACCCTGCTGCCACACGCAAACTGTCAGAGTTTCACTATACACAGAGCAGGATTTGTTGGAGGTAAGAGATCACCTCGTAACAAAGGCCCCGCTCACACGGGACCGTTTGCGTTTATGCACAGTATGCGTATTCAAAAAAGTCTTCCGTTCACATGCATTCGTTTCATTTAACGTGTCTGTTCAAACGAGGCCGCTGGAAACGCTGTAGTACATATGCCGGGACTGTAAGTGGCGCTGTAACTTCCGCCAAAATACACAAAAAGCCGCGAAGAAGAGCAGCCCGAGCAGCCCCGCCGCAATGTTGCCATGGCTACCCTTCTGTTTAAGCCCCGCGGTGTATTTAGCAACATGTAGTTCATGTAATTCTCCATGTCCACTTGTTGCTGATGGTTGTGGTAGAGGAGCTGTAGATTTTGCACTAATATCTGTAGCATGGTCAGTAGCAGTAGCACTAGCAGTAGCTACTGACAGGAGGAAGTGTGTGTGGCGATTGCTGGTATTCAGCGGGATATAGTCATTTCCTCAGCATATGGATAAATGCAACGGGGAAGTTAACTGAAAGAAACCGAATCTGTGGATATTGCATCGACCGACCAAGAAGCACGTCTCTGTGGAGAGGACGGCTCAGAAAGAGAGATATTCTCTACAAACACCGGGTGAGATCGCACCTTTGTCAATATAATGGATCAATGCATGAAATCTGACTCTGTTTATTTTGTTTAAGGAGTATATTGGGCGTTAACAATTCTGGTTTGCCTTTTATAATATTATTTCATTCAAGAACCCCTTGTGCGTTTAATTAACACAGCTATTTTTGATAGTTGCTACAGCAGTGAGCAGGAGAGGTGAGGAGAGGTGGGGCTATCGCTATTTTTTCAGGAAATATTCGTATAGAGGTGATTACACGGACTCGGTTGACCCCCCAGAGCGTTTCGTTTGCAAATCTATCCACCTTGGGACCCGTTATCGTTTGTGGGGTCAGTTTCTATCGGCCTCGTGTAAATAATAGGGCTATAGCACGCGAAACTATGCAGATACAAGCAGTTTTCTCCTCGTGTAAACGGCGCCAAAGTCTACTGACCAATCAAAGCTCCGTGCACAGATCGTAAAACAATATTACATCTGTACGAATGTTAAAGGCTAAATCCTTATGCAATAATGTAAACAGTCATGTAAAGCTCTCCGTTACAGCGGCACAAATAGTCATTACATACACCAGAAGTAGCAGACCTAAATGTAAACACACTAACATTAAGTGTTGCTTTCACTTATGTTATGTTAGCTAGTTGAACGTTTGGCAGCAGTCAGAAAAACTAACTCACACACGAGTACTTGCTTGATAACTTACCTTTTTATTTTTTTGAATGAGAACATTATACTTTACGAAATGGTCAAAACCCTGGCCTCTCTTGCTTTCTCAGTTTCTGTATCCGCGCCAATCCACCTGAGCACCAGGTACTGAGCATGCGCAGTAACCTTTGCTAGTACGCATGCTTAGAACCGTGGCTCTTTTTTTTCTAGTGGTTTTGTTCCGTTTTCTTTTTATGTTTTTAAGCCATTATTTCTTGATAGTCTTCATTTAGCTTCAATTAAAAATAATATTAAATCGTTTTTATTCCAATTAACTATTACTTCATTAAACATAATAAGAAGTCGTTTTTGATGAGTAAAATGTATTACAGTTTATTCAAGTCCAGCTATTAGTGTAGCTACATTCAATACACAATGTGTTTTCTTTTCCTATAACATTTTTTATTTATGCAGATTTATTGAAGTATGAAATGGGCATTATCTTTGCATGGAAATTCCTGACTTTGTTTTGATATATGCTTGGGTACTGCTCTAACTGTCCAGAAGGGAGCAGTGTCTTCTTCTAAACTACTTAACGTATTCAGCACCACTGCTTGAAGCACCATGTATGAGCTGTTTACTCAGGATATTTGGCATGTGTTTTTCTGTTTTCAAACACAAATGGCATGCCATAGTATTAAACACTTGTCTTATATGTGTATGTTTGTATT